ACTTTGGCACTTTCTCACATTCTATGTACCCTGATAATTCCATAGATCCCTGCATATTGGTTGTCAGTGAGTCATGTGTAGCTGTAAATGGAAAACACTTCATAGGTAGTTCTTGCTTGTCTAAACTCAATTCCTGGTCACTTCATGGTTGAATGTATTGTTCTGTGGCTGTCCAAGCTTGCTCTGAGCAAAATCCTTTCTGTAGCAGTCTTGTAGCCACAACTGTTGTCTTTGAGTTCATCAACCTCGAGCTGCCTTGAAGCCTGTAGTTTGTCAGTTCCTCCACTGTACAAATTTCTCTGCTTGCTTGACTGTTAACAAGGCTGTAAAGGTTGCTCCTTGATTGCTGTTGATCCAATTTCTGGGACCCAGGATACAAATGCATGATGGCCACCACAAATTTGGGCCAATTCAACTGATCCTTGACAAAATCATACCATGAGTCAGGGACTTCACCACCTGCATACCAGCAAGCCCATTTGGCCCACTCTTGGTCATTGAAGCATTTCTTACACTTGCAAAGACTTCGAACCCCTTCAAAATACCTAAAAAGGTCAGATGCTTGTCCCAAGAACCATGGTGCATCCCTTGAATGCCTCGATGTCATTCCCTCGAGTTCTTCTGGTGCATTCTCATGGCTTCTTCGCAAAAATTTGACTATTAATTTCCCTTTGGATTTGCTCCTCAACTCAAGGGATCTTTGACTTCATTGCTCACTCAACATTTACTGCTCAAAAAATAATTCTGAAAATTCTGGAGTTCCTGAGTGTAGACTGTAACTAGAATTGAGATTCTGAGTACTTAGCTTGTCCAACTTAATCCAGCAAAAATTTCATGCAGTGATAAAGAGGTGGCTTCTTTCCCAAAAATGAACAGAACCCCCCTTGTGGTGGGCTCCAGATGTAGGAATAGGTATTAGATAATCCTAGAAATAGTAAATATCAGTGATGGATGAGTATGCACTTGACCCAAGAGGGAGGTTCTCACTGGAGAAAAGAAGTGTAGTGAAAAGTGTAAAAATGCGAACTAGAATGTAGACTTAGCTCTAGTTGTGGCTGCTATTCTAAACCTCTTTCCAGTCCTCCTGGCCCTTTGGGTACTCCCAAAAGTAATATAATTGACCTCAAAAACTTGCCAAAATGCGAGACTGAACCACCCTGCTGCTCAGGGCCTCTGACATGAATTGGTTGTATGGTAAACTGAACTTGTGTGAACACAGTGCATGTGCTTAGTCAGCAATGTGGCTGCTCGCCACAAAGTCCAATGGTACAAACATGAAAACAAAAGCAAGAAATAAAACAAGTCCCCCAACCCCTATCTCCTGACCAAGACAACTTCCCATAGGGAATTCAATCTCATTCCCTACACCATGCACACCATGAAACACTATTGCTACCAAGCACTGAGTCCCACCTCCTAGTTTCAACAGTCCAGAATCCCTTGGGAAAAGCAATTTGTTCCCTTCATTTTATTGTTGTTACCTGAGCCATCTTGCTGTTAAGTACAGGTTTACCCTCAGGTGACCAGGCTTTAAGACTAGGCGACAGGGGCTAAGTCCAGTTGACTAGAGTCAAGGCTGGGAGACAGGGGCCAAGTCTGGTTGGACCAGAGTCAACACCAGGAGGTCAGGGGTTAAGTCTGGAGGTCCAGACTTAAGACTGGGAGTGTGGGAACAAGGCTGGTAGTGTGGGAAACTGACTGGTCTTGGAGCACATACAGGGGAAAGCCAGTCTGGGGTTGGATCTACCTCCCTTGGTCTCAGCTTATGTGCTGTACCCTTATGCAAGCTGGGGAGAGGTCCGGGACAGGGGCTGGGGATAGCCTAAGGCTCAGCCTTAGCTATAGAGTAGACTTGGAGAGTAGTACTGAGTTCAGGGTAATACTAAGTTGATATTCTAACTGGAGTGCTACAAAGTATGTACATGGGTTAAATATGTGAGGCCAGTCTGGAGTTGTCATATCCATGACTCTTGGACTCAATCCCAGTCCAGTCCAAACCCCTAGCCCCTAACTCTGGTCAAGTCCAGTCCTAGTCCAGCCTAGAAAACACAACTCTCTGGCCTCCTGGGCTTGTGCTGCTCCACCCCAGTCCTCCCAGGTCCATGTCCAGGTCACCTGGACATAACTCTGGTCTGTTTTCCATTGTTTGTACTATATTTAGTCTAGTCCCCTTTGCTGATCTTTGCTTACTGTACAAAACCTGTGTCTGGCTCCAGTTACACCAGTCACCCAGACTTTGACTATTAGTCTCAGCACAGCCTCTGTGTCTATCCTCTCTTGCTAATAATCTTTCTAATAGCTTATCAACAAGTCCAGCTCTATGTTTGTTACTCCAGACCAGCCTCATGTATTTAACCTCTGTACATACTTCATAGAACCTCACTCAGAATATCAACTTAGTATTGCCCTAAAGTCTGTAATACCCCTCAAGTCTATTCTATAGCTAAGGCCAAGCCTTAAGCTATCCCAAGCCCCTGTCCTGGACCTCTCCCCAGCTTGCATAAGGGTACAGCACATAAGCTGAGACCAAGGGAGGTAGATCCAGCCCTGGACTGGCTTCCCCCTGTGTGCACTCCAAGACTGGTCACTTTCCCACACTCCCAGCCTTAACTCTGGTCCAACTGGACTTGGCCCCTGTCTCCTGGCCTTGACTCTAGTCAGCCAGACTTGGCCCCTGTCACCCAGTCTTGAAGCCCAGTCACCTGAGGCTAAACCCACACTTAGCAGGATTAAAGAACATGAAGCCAGACTTGTGAATAAGCTATTAGCAAGATGATTAGCAAGGTATGGACAGCCATGGGGGCTGTGCCAAGACTAATAGTCTAAGTCTGGGTGACTGGCATAACTGGAGTCAGAACAGATTTTGTACAGTAAGCAAAGGTCAGACAAAAGGACTAGACTAAATATAGCACAAGCATAGAAGAACAGACTGGAGTTATGCCTGGGTGACCTGGACATGGACCTGGGAGGACCAGGGTGGAGCAGTGCAAGGCTGGGAGGCCAGAGTGGACTGGAGATAGGGGTAAAACACTGGACTTGAGTTATTTAGGCTGAAGTTGGGTTTCTCAGGGCCAGAGTTAGGTTTTCTAGGCTGGACTAGGACTGGGCTTGACCAGAGATAGGGGCCAGGGGTGTGGACTGGACCAGGATTGAGTCCAAGATTCATGGATATGACACTAGCTTGTATTATACAGCTACTTGGACTTTTCCTACACCACCTTCACCTTTAACACCCATCACATTATCTGATTCATCATCACCAATGCCCTCTTTTTCCCATCTCTTTGATGCCTCTGAATCTATACCCAGAATCCCAGCTACATCTGCCACACTGCCATGGCCACTTGTCAGTTGCAGACCACCCATCAGCCAATTAGTAACCCTCCAACACTTCCACCAGTTCACTTATGCATGATACCACCTGCTATGCATCTGTAGCCAATACCCACTCCTCCCATTACCAATCCAGCACCACTGCCACAAGTGAACCCACCAATGGCTAACCCCCAATTTCAGATGCCATTCTGCAGTACACAGAACTCACCTAGGTTTAGCAGAGATTCCCCTATGCAGCTTCTGCACTACCTTGAAGACATTGACTTGCTCAGCACTCTTGCTGCTCTTGATGACTGTGGCAAGATCAGAGCTGCAGTCCACTATGCTGACCTCAAAGAAGCCAAGGTCTGGCAAACACTTCTGGAAGCTGCTCCCACAGCCACAGATTTGCATTACCTTGTTGAAGAATCACAGCAAGCATTTTACAATTTTCTTTGCACAAACATAGGGAAAAAAATCTTTGAAAAGATACTTTGTTTTATCTCATGTTCTCTGTTGAAACAAGTCGCAATAATGTTGAATTTTGAATGGTTTTTCTGACAGAAAACATGACACAGTGGATTACCAATGTTTTATTGGTAAAAAACAATTACCATGACCTACCACCAAAAACCAAAAACAATCATCAAAAAAATTATTAGTACTGTTTTCTACATGTTATGCAATACATTAATCAAATACTTTACCACAAAATGATTTAAACACACTGATCATTGAAGAACATGTAATGTTACATAGAACATCAAAAGTAAATGATATATGTTTTGTATGTGATAATTATAAAAACATTTGGCCAAGTCTTTCAATGTTCACCTGGAAAAAAAAAAAAAAAAGAACAGCAGTTCAATGTTTTCTCTAAAAACATGACATGCTAAACTACAATTTTTATGTACAAGAACATGGTACTGAGAGCATGCCAAATGTTCTAGGTCAAATTACAGTATCTTATCTCCCAGAAGGCACAATAAATAAATAATGTATTAAAATATCCTGTTCTACCACAGAATAACTGTGAAGTAGGCATGTTATATGTAGAGGTGTTGTGAAGGTTCTGAGCTGTTTAGGTTCATTTGTGGGCATGACTGCCTTGTGCACAAATCCAAGTTTGTCTCTCTTTGATATTGTTTCATAGGTGACAAGCTGACCACTCCCTTCTAGTGTGCTTGACTTATTTTTCCAATCTTTCAGCATCTCTGCCCTAGCTGCATCATCAGGCCTCTTGCTGTCCTGCCCTGTTGTGCACTTAGTCCCTCAGTAGCTTGTCAGCATACTGAGGTCCATCTACAGATTCCACAATTATATCCTAAAATAAAAGATGAAACACATAAAACAGTACAATGTATCACTGATAAAATGACTCATCCAGTTCTTCCAATGAGGACCATGGTGGGTCTGTCATGCACAAAATATCATGTTTGACAGTTGTGGACAGACAAACATGACAATTTTACTCAAATTATTCCAATATGGCACAACATTCCAGGGGTGTTACAAATGTATACTAGGCATATTTAGGACATAACAATGCAATCTGCATGAGCCAATTTTTGTTATACTAAGTTTTTGAAATTTTGACCCAAAAATGTGGCTAGCCCCCAAAAGAATCCATACAAATCCTGGAAAAAGCAGAATAAGTGGCATTAGCCTAGTACAGTATGATTGCAATGTCAGGGTACAGCTGTCACACTAGTGAGGAGCAGAAAAAATTGAGCAAGTCTGAGGTTTGTGGTCATGTGAATTGCTCTTTGACACAGGAATGCCCTTGAAAGCCCACTGTAACATGCAACATGGCTGGTCTGCATAACCAGAGCTCAGCTGTTGTTGAAACAGGCAATGTATTGTTCCCTGATACACCCAAATCTGACAAGGATCAGTACACAAGCAAATGCATGAGGACATGATTTCATGCTCCCAGCCCTGAGCAGAAGATGAAGAACTGGAGTGGAAATGCACCAATGTACTTGACAGTTTGAAGTTTACAGCCAGTGAGAGTGAGTCAGAGGATGAGCTTGAACATGATGATGCCACATTCCAAGTCATGGGTGTTGGTGAGGCTGATCTCTGTGCTCAGTTGGTCAACCTTGCCATTAGTGCTGGTGATGACCATCTTGGTGAGACTTGGTTACCTCTGAGAGAAGCAAAGTGTGCTGCCCAATGAAAGCAGTCACTCAGATGCCCCAAGGAATACAAGGGTCCTGATGTCCATCAGCTCTCACAGAAAGCCATGATGTTCATTGAAGTGGTTCTTAATCCTACCTTATATAGGGTCAATAACATGTTACCACACCCCAAGTACCACATTCAATCTAACCAAAATTTTGGCCACCCTAAAAAGTCATGGGAAAAACTTTGGACCACTGTTTTTTGATGTATTTTCACCTGTAGCATCTGAATCAAGTGTTAGTTGCCCCAAAAAAGTCATGGGAATCCAGAATCAAAATCATTGTGTTTGTCTGTCCACAACTGTACCACAGAACATGATAAATAAATAGTGTAATAAAATATCAATATCCTGTTCCACCATGGAGCATTATAAACTGTGAAGTAAGCATGTTATATGTAGAGGTGTTGTGAAGGTTCTGAGCTGTTCAGTTATTGTCAGACTGCTGCCTACTGCAAACACAGTGCTGAACTCCCCATTTCTTGCATGAACTGCCTTGTGCTCTTTCACTTTCAAAAGTGGACTGGGGACATTCATGAGTGGTGGGGGTGCTATCAGAGGCTACTCTTTCTCTAGTCAGTCAGGGCAACCATGGATTTTGGACTATCCTGTTCTACCACAGAACATTACAATGTGTGTCATCAATGTGTTGTTGCAAGAAAAAACAACAAAGGACACAGAATACTCAAGTATAAAAAGTCAGGTGGCACATATCATGACTGACTGAGGTTTATTCCATGAGATAAGATCATGTGACAGCATGTGATGGGGTGGTTGAGCAAGGACAAGCAGTGATAGCATTGATGGTTACAGATGCCACTTATCATGTTCTGTGGTACAACAGGACACTTTAATACACTCTTTATTTATCATGTTCTCTGGAAGACAAAACAGTGTGATTTGATTGAAAATATTTAGCATGTTAATATGGAATCTCAGTAGCATGTTTTTGCATGTAACAGATATTGTTTCAAATGTCATGTTTATGAAGTAAACATTGAGCCAATAATCTGATGTTTTGTGGGTCAACATTGAAAGACTTGGTTAAAGTTTATTAGTATTATCACATACAAATCATTTATCATTTACTTGTGATGTTCTACATAACATCACATGTTCTCTAATGACCAGTGTGTTCAAATTATTTCATGGTACAATATTTGATTAATCAATTACATAACATGCAGAAAACAGTACTAATATTTTTTTTGATGATTGTTTTTGGTTTTTGGTAGTGGGTCATAGTAATTGTTTTTCACCAGCAAAACATTGAAAATCCACTGTGTCATGTTTTCTGTCAGAAAAGCCATTCAATACATTAGACTATTTCCACTTGTTTAAGCAGAGAGCATGTGATAAAATAGAGTATCTTTTAAAAGATTTTTTTCCCATGTTTGTGCAAAGAAAATTGTAAAATGCTTGCTGTGCAATACACTTCTAGGCAGCTCCCTCATGGTTAGGTGAGGTTGGCCAAACCACTTGCATGGGGCTGAAACATGCTGAGGCTAGGTCAGCTGGAACCACTTTCAGGCAGCTCACTCATGATTAGGCTAGGTCAGCCAGAACCACTTGCAGGGGGCTGGCACATGCTGAGGCTCAGTCAGCCAACACCACTTCCAGGGAACTCACTCATGGTTAGGTAAGGACAGCCCACACCACTTCCAGGGAGCTCAATCATGGTGAGGTGAGGTCAGCCAATACCACTTCCAGGGAGCTCACTCATGGTTAGGCTAGGTCAGCCAAAACCACTTTCAGGGGGTTGGCACATGCTGAGGCTGGGTCAGCTGACACCACTTCCAGGCAGCTCACTCATGGTTAGGTGAGGTTGGCTGACACCACTTCCAGGGAGCTCACTCATGGTCAGGCTAGGTCAGCCAAAACCACTTGCAGGGGGCTGTCACATGAGTCAGCTGAAACCACTTCCAGGTAGCTCACTCATGGTTAGGTGCAGTTGGCCCACACCACTTCCAGGCAGCTCCCTCATGGTGAGGTTGGCCAATACCCCTTTCAGGTTGCCACCACATACCCAGGCTGGGTTGGCTGACACCACTACCAGGGGGCTGGCCCTTGGGCAGGCTGGGTAGGCTGACCACACCTCCAGGGGCACTGGGCTGGTCCAGCCAACACCACATGTAGGGAAGTCAGCTGATGTTGGTTAGGCCCACTTTCAGGTACAAATGTACATATCAGATGTCCTGGTTTCAGGACTAGATGTGACTGAAGGGTCTGCCATCCCCTCCACATCCTCACATGACCATCCAGCATGATGTCCATGAATCCACACTCTCCCCCCCACTCCTTTCCTTCATTGAACCACCCCCAAGGCCCCAGCAGACACAAATGCCCTCTCTCCCCTTTCCACCCCAGTGCTGCACACAACTACTCAGACTACAAAAGGCAAAAGCCTTTTCACAACAGCAGTTTCTCAGACCTCCAACCCCTCCCAGCCTGTGCTGTATGCCTCAACCACCACCAGCACCTCTTTATCATCAAGTGCAGAGCCATGCACACATGGGATGAGAGGAACAAAACATATACAGAAAGAATTTACAAAGTGCTTTTCACCAAGGACAGTGTGAGTCAAAGTGTGGAGAGCAGGTGCAAACTAACCAAAACCAACACCAAAGACAAGTATGGGTGAGTGGTGGTTTACTTCCACAGAACCTGGAGAGCAGAAAAATCAAAGTGGGGTGTTTTCAAAAGGGGAGTGCTCCTAGCACAAGTTGTCAACAAGTTACACAGGAGTAGATGAATTAATGATGACTGTGAGGGACATGTTGACTAGAGTAATGATCTTCAATGGAATGTGCTCCTGGCACAAATTGACATTGAGTTATGCAGGAGTGGGAGGATGACTAAATGATGAATGAAGGTAGATAGACCCTTAATGGAGCCTCAACTACCAAGGATGATGAATGATGCCTCTGTCAGTTATGAACTTTCTCCACTCCAACTGCTGTTGGACTTGTGTTGGTCTACCACCAGACTGAGCAGACTGTCCTCTGAGTGGTCATGTGACCTCCCTTCAGACTTCTCCTTGACAGCACACAGTCAGGTACTCTGCAGTGCATGCACCATATGGTCCAGCACCTGGACTGTTTCCTTTTTGGGATGCTCTATGTTACCCATTCATATGTCCTCCATCTTCTCTTCATTTGTCATCTAGGAAGTTTTACTTGGAAATTATGAGTCTCTGTATGTCAGTTCTGATTCTGATTACTGTACCTCTGTAGTGAGTATAGAAGCATTTACCATACTCCATTGTTCTTCAGTATGAATATCAACTTAGTTCCTACTCCCTCTTCTCTGTCTTCTGTCTGTCAGAATTACCTCCCACTATCTGTCTGTTCCCTCCCTCTGAAATACAAGGGCTGAGATCATGCAAGGGGGTAGCACACAAGCTAAATCTGATGCCCTCACTCCACTCTGCCTTTGTCTCAGTGGACTTCATCCCTGCTGACACTCCACTAGTTGGAATTCAGTGTTGTAGAAATGCATATGGTGCAAGGATTCTTTCCAAACTCAGAAGGCAGGATCATCTGGCTGAGCACTTTAAGTAGGTGTGGGAACAGAGTCAATATCTTTGGAAATGGTGGAGATATGATGAAAACCAGAATGCCATACATGGGTGCTAAAAACTTTTGATGGGCACTTAACTTGCTTCCTCTTTTCCCTCTAGCACTGACAACTCATTCTTGTGTGAAGGATGAATGCTAACATCCAGCAGCTCTTCTACACATGAGGGCTTTAGTCTTCATCTCCATTCGTGTCACCATGTACAACTCACCAATGAGTTAGGCAGAGTCAGCTGTAACCATGTCCACAACACCTTTGGTGTGTGACAGTGGGACAGTTCATGGCCTGTTCCAGGTCAATGTTAAATGTGGCCATGATTGCTTTATGGATGTGGTGGAAGGCAGCTGACTTGAAGTTTGGGTGAACCTCAAGGTTGGGGTTGGCCATGGTAATGGGGAGTCTGTGGGAAACAAAAGAAGAGAGTTGTGAGATATGATAGGATAATGAGTTAAATAAAATGAGTGTGGTAATCATTTGGTGTGACAACCAATAGTGGCAAACAAGGTGGTGGCACAGAAGGAAAAGGAAAGTGTTGCTTACCAACATTCATCCAAAGACTAAACTCTGTGTCTGGCACATGCCTTGCTACATTGCAGAGTCACACTCCATGAATATCAAGGTCTAGACCAGATTCCAGATGTGAATGTCCTGCATGTTAGTACAAATATATAACTCACTGATGCTTGTACACTTGGGGTGTATTCCTGCTATCAGCACTTCATGTTGTAACACTGGCCTCCTCCCTACATTGGTCTGTGCATATCTCAACTTCTAGCAATCAGATTTGTGGTGGACTTTGACCACTGTGCTCCACAGCTTACTCCACTCCCTAAGAGGTTCTCAGGGGTGTTGTGCAACTTTGACATTATGTGACTGATGGTTCAAGTTATGTAATTGTGCCAATGAGCTGTGATTTTCATTTGGGCATTCTATAACCAGTTGTTATCCAAATATCATAACTGCTTTGACCCATTAAGAAACACCTTGCACCAGATAAGGATAGGTCACTGTCTACACCATGATTAGTGGAAATACTGCAAACATCAGGACAGTTTTGTGAGCCACTGGACAAAATCTAACCAATTAACTGATGAATCATTGTATGTCATTCAAGACTGTCATCACCATCATTGTCATCAGGGGTGGTTTGGTTATTACAAGCTAAAACAACCAATTGGTCACATGAGGCAAGACAACACAGAATCCTGGATCACATTATCTGGTATATCATGTACAATATACATATATACTACATAGTGACACTAGACAATTTCCTTGAAACACATATGCCATTTATTCCCATGAACCATCTGACTCAAGTCCAATTCTACACAGCCTCCCCTGGAAATGGTCACACCATTCCACATAGAGTAGAATGGTCTCCTGAGTGTTGGATGTATCCAAAGAAGCAGTTTGCCCTTTGGGCCTCTAATCCAGCCATCATCCTGGAGCTTGACTGGTTCGTCCCTCACATTATCATCCTCCAACTGGAGTCCATCAAGAAGTTGTTCACTGTCATGTAGTACATGAGATGATTTTGATGAGAAGCAAATAAAACATCTTTTAACAACTTCATGTCTTCAGCAAAATTATGATGCATAACAGGGACAATACTTACTATCTGTAGCATA